AATCGCTGATTGTGACTCATAGAAAGCAAAATTTACAGGTTTTATGTTTCCAACGCATACTTTGTAACCTCTTCTTGTAAGTTACAAGCAAAACATGCCATCATACCATCTTTTGGTTTTATTATTCCGAAAAACATTATTTTAGCTGAAATGAGTCTTTGCAACCTTGGTTTTGACGTTATGAAACCACTTTGTTCTGCTAATAGTTGGCAGATATTCTCTGATCCATCGTCGCCAGAAGTTGTCCCGCGTGTGTTGAATCATGTTCCAGCTACTTCGTTTTGCAGATCTTTCATCCACGGGCTGTTTAACTGGCTGTCGTACTTCATCGGAGCTAAAGAGGAGGAAATGGTTCGGCCTCAAGGATTCGTGTTCAGCGGTCTCTAGTGGGATGAATGTCAACGGTCGAGAATTGACCATATGCTCTGCCTCGACGAGCATGGTTACGAACGACTCTTCGTCAAGTATGCGTTCGGTAGGAAGTGCTCCCAGAGCAGTCTTCACTGAGCGAACCATTCTCTCCCAGCATCCCCCCATCTGCGGTGCCGCTGGTGGATTGAATCTCCATTGAGTGTTGGTACCGGTGAAGGTGTTGCTTAGCTGCTGATTGATCGTTCGTATTTCCTCCGTTAGTTCTTTCCCAAGTAGCCAAAAGTTCTGATAAAAGGCTATTTGTGGCTTTAGCAGCTTGGTTGGTGGTGATCTATAGAATTCTAAGCAGCCTCATTTTTAAGTCGTTATAAGAACTTGAGAGTTCCGGTATCATAATTGAAGAGCATTCTAAGCAGCTTCTGGCGGAACTTGAACGGAACTTTTAGAAAATAAATTAAAAAAGGTGTGTGTTGTTCGCAGACAGGTATTAATGTGTATTGATTTATAGGCATTAGTACACGCAAACCAAAAATCTATTACAATAAATGTTAGTTCCATTTCCTATCATCCTCTGTTCATGAACATCGCAGCGAATGTTAGAAGTTGACCTTGCAGGCGATGTAATGGTTTTTTGCCTTTTTTATTTCGTTTTCTGTCTGTGCTTTCACCTACACAAGCAAGCATTTGCCTTGATTTTTATGTATAACATGGTAGAACGACGCACACCCTTGCCTCGAATTTCTCCAGCAGAAAAAGCATACGAATTCGAGTGTGAGAGGAAATGAGCGCTTCTTGTTTGCTTTTAGGCTATCTTGATTCAGAAGCATGGAGAGAGCAGTGGAGAAAGCACAGGTCTGATAATCGCAACGTTCGTTTTTCGAGTCCCAGTCGGCAACTTTTTCCTATTTTTTTTTTTCGACATAGTTAATTTACCTCACTAATACACTCTACATTTTTCGGTCTCCAATTTTCTTGCATTGGACCGCAGCTAGGTAGGTAGTATATCGCATCCTCGGTTCATGCGGTCTCCACTTACATCCTCTGATGATGAATCCCACATAATTGTAAGCGAATCTTACATCCACCGGTTGGGTGTAGTAGAATTGGAGCTGTTAGAAGAATTAAACCCAGTCCTTCTGCGTGAGAGCCCCAGCACGAACCGCTGCGTCATCTGAGATATAGTAAAGTGAGCTGTTGTCCCGCCTACTGTTGGAGTTTTCAGTGTCAGTGGACTGACTTGAATACGAAACACAATACCTTGATGAATTTTAAATTGGTGTTTGCCCGCATGGTACTCCAACACATTTGTGGTGCAGTGGTTAGCGTTCGTAGATCGCATGCCAAATACACGGGTTCGAATCCAGGAAATTACTTTTTAATTATTTGTTTTTATGTTTGGATAGAATGTTGATGCACTGCATAGATATAAGATTTATGATTTATTCGGGGCACTGATCGTTTAATATTTACGTATATTAAATTTGGTTACTAATAAAGACTAGTGCGGATTGCTTCATGTGGCTTGAAAGTTCTGTCGGAACTTTATTTGAACTTTATGGAACTTGAAAGTTCTGTCGGGACTTCATTTGAACTTTATGGAACTTGGAAGTGATTTTAATCGTTGAATGCGGAACTTTTGGTTACTTGGGTTGTTTGCTCCCACAAAGTTGGTCCCGTTGTCCGTGTAAATTTCACGTGGAGCACCCCTACGGGCTACAAACCGTCGAATTGCTTTCTTGCTCGAATCCGTCGACAAGGTGGCAGCTATCTCCAGATGTACTGCTCTGATAGTCAAGCACGTGAAGAGAACGACCCACCGCTTCACTGGTCGACGCAATATTCTGATCGTGTATGGCCCGAAGTAATCTATTCCAACCATGCTAAATGGACGGCAGAATAGCATTAATCTGGCTTTTGGAAGAGATCCCATTCTAGGTGCAACCGGAACGGCTTTGTACACACGGCACCATCCACATTGTTTCCTCACCAGACGCACCCTCAACTTCGGTATCCAGAACTTCTGTCTGATCTCATTTACCACGGTCTCGTCGTTTGCATGTTGAAACTTTCGATGATACGAATCCAACAGCAGTTAAGTGATACGACTATCTCGTGGTAATATAATTGGATTTCTGGCATCGTGATCAATAAAGTCAGCTGCTTGGATGCGACCGTCAACACGGATCACGTTGAACTCGTCAATTGCTGGAGTGAGTTTAGCAAACCAGCTGCTTCGATCCAGGAGACGACATTTTGCAGGAACTGACTGATTGTGCTTTAACACTGCAACTTCATCTGGACATCCGTCAGACTGTACCATCCGCCACAAACACCGTTCAGCAGCAATGGAGTTTTCTTATGCAACCGCATCCGATTGTCGATGTATGCAACACTTCGTATTAGCCGCTTCCATCGCGAGAATCGCTCGACTTTCACCATCGGTTCAATGTCAAGATGCTTGCAAACAAAGGCAGGACGAAGTTCTACGGTTGTCGGTTCGATTTCGTCACGGCAATCCCTCGGCCACTCTTACTCGTTTTCGTATAGGAACTCGGGTCCATGGAGCCAGCGGCTGTCAGATTCGAAGGATGGTTCCTTCCCCACTTTGTGGTTTCATCGGCCACGTTGAGCTTCGTTGGTATCCACTGCCATTCTTATACCGACGATAAGCTGAGAATCTTGTTGATCCGGATGCTAGGAACGAACACCCCTCGAACAGAAGTAGGGCATTTCGATGATAAGTGCAGCTTCGAATGCGCTACTTACTCACACACATACATGTAAGGAGCAATCATCTTGTCCAACAATAGGCTATAGAAGTGAGTAGCAGTCGGGATCTTATGTGACGAGGGGTTGACCTTAAATTAACTTAAATGTAAAACTTATATTTATATTATATTAAAATTATATCTATCCACCATAAATCTAGATCTTAGCCTAATTGTTGATATTTGTAATTTGAAGTCTAGAATCATTCAATTTCGGAGACTAAATGAAAGTAATTGTTAAATTCGTAGTATGTCATGTAATCCAAAAATAAATAACCCTTTCAGCTTTGAGCTTACTTGCACCACAAAAAGCGAGTTTGCTTCGGGAATACCGCATTTATCACAACAAGATTCGATAGCTTCTTGAAATATGAGGAAACTTCAGAGAAGTTTATAAATGGTTGTGGAACTTTCATAAGCTTCAAAGATGTGTCGATATAATCAGAAAAGTTGTGGGAGCTTCAGGGTACATCAAAGAACTTCAGATCAGTTCAGTTATCTTTCGAAAAGTTGCGGCAAATTTTAAAAACTTCTGGTAAATTTAAGTCTAGAAAACATGTTTGAATTGATCTTTATGGCAGTTACAATTACTTCAAGGAAGCTCCGAAAACTTCAGAAAAGTCAAGCCTATCGGGGAAGTTTGAAGATTTTGAAGAACAAGTCATTTTGTTTCGGCCTTCAGTCTTCAATAAAAAGAGTTACAGTTGGAATCTTAATCAGGACTGAATAAAAGACCTTGTGGAAACTAACGATTTAAATTGGCTCACTACTTGAGCATATTGGTCCCAAGCAAATCGATTAACGTACCCCATTCCAGTTGAAATTCTAGTACTACACAATGTTTGTTTTGATTCGCTATGAAAGTTTGACAGATAAAATGAGGGGTTCGTGGATTTTCCTATGTTTCGAGGGGTGCATCGATTAGCTTGTGACCGAAGGTAGTACCAGAGCTGAGCCAAAAAGTTGAGCACGTTTCTTCGGGACCTTCTGGGCTTAGAGTTACCTCTATGGTACAACTCTATATCCCTTGAAGAAGGAAAAAGTCCAAATACCGAAACGTCAGGCATAAAACATCCTAGCGTTTTGATCCACCGTTAAACTGAAAAGCCAATTTTCGAATCATTAAGTAGTTTTAATTTTTATGGCGACCTGATAGCAGACAAGTTTACCTATACCCTAGTTTTACTTTGTAACCAATTTGTAAAATAAACAGCTCCAAATGTATCATGACAGCACTGTTTGCATATTAAGACCAATTTCGTTTATTCATTTGAGAACAACCTTTTCGACACGCTCAAAAACTTTGAAGTTTTCCGGTACCATTTACATTATTGCCGCCCATTCTGTGTGAGAACTGTGTAAGTTGGGGTGGCCTTATCTGCACTCGGCCATCAGCGCCGAACGCATCGTGCGGTTTGTTTTTCATTTTAATTTTTATTGAAATTATGACAACCGACAAAGAAGTGTTGTAATGGGCGGAAATAATTTATTCGCTTTGGTGATGCTGATGACGATGTTGATAATTATTATTATTACACACATGAAGGCACGTGTGCCGGCTGTCACGTTTGAAACCCGGTTTGAGCGATTTTTTTTTCAGCCCTTCCGCAGAAACGGAAGTAGGCTGTGTCGCTATTTCTTTTCTCTTTTTTTTACCTGGCGTTTATGAACCAATCACAACGGGGGTCGATCATCGTAGCATGCGCTAAAAAGGGAGCCACGCGGAACACCGAAGAAGGTGACGCACATTTCAATTTGCGCTGAAATCCTAATGAAGCTATCATCATCTTCCGTTCCCCGGATGGATGCATGGTGTCCCTCCCTGTTTTAATGAAATTGGTTCAATTGAAAGTTTCTTACCTTTAGGATGGGACTGCTAATTTGCGGGCGTTTCTTTTCCTTGGAACAGAGACAGCCCCAAGGCATCTTACGGAGCGCGCACAACCGACGCACTCTCCCTCTCAGAGTCAGTCACAGTACCCGAAGAGTACGCACTTGGAATCGTTCAGCACTCGTATTACTTGTGGGTTGAACCCGTTCCGGGAGTCATTGTTCTTCTGCGATACAATTCCGGGAAAAACAAAATCCGAAATTTCACATCTTTCTTTGCGCAGTTCGGACGCCACGTTTCGCGAAAAATTGCGATTAATTTGCCGTTTCAGCACTGTTGTTGTTCATAATCTGAAATGAGAATTGAGAAAAGTACAATCAATGATGAGTTATGAAATTGTGTTGCTTCGGTAAAGCCCCTCACGAAAACTCTACGAGGCCGATTAACGCCGTGCAGGACTTAAGTTTGAACGATAGAAAATAATAATAACTCAAACGGGAATCTAATAACTCAAGCATAAATTATACGCTCTTTCAAATACCCTGCATAGTCTTTCACTAGCAAATCACTAGCAAAGACCGAGGAAAAAAAACCACTTTCCTTCCGAAGGGAAGGAAGAGGAGCAAAGAACACGGACGTTCTCTCCGAGCCACATAAACAATGCGATTCATTGAAAAGAAGCATCTCATCGTCGTCTTTCTCGGACAGAAGAGTGAGAAAAGCTCCGTGGAATCGGGGGGAGGATCATTGCATCTATTTAATTTAACCACACGATTGAAAGTGATCTATGGAGTGGGTTGTATTTCACTTTAATACCCCCTTTTTTCCGATATATGTCTTGAGCTGAGGCTGATTCCCTGGCGGAGTATTAAATAAGCTCTTCGACAGTGAGGAGTATTTATGATTGTTTCCGTTCGATGGCGACGCGACGCCGCAGACAACGACTTTCTCCCATTTCCAGACCTCTGTGATCTGATTATACGCCGTTCAGGCGGAGATGTTCCGGATTCGATTCAAGGGAATTGTTGATCTAACCTAAAAAAATATCACAACTGCGCTTGCTTAGTAGGCGCTGGCTGGTGGCTGGAAAATGCATCTGATGTACACGTGCCAATCATTACGATAGGTTCTCAGTAAAGTAAAAAAAAAAAAAAATCGAGATCAAGTAACGAGTGTATGTTTTTACTTTTACACTGATGGGCAATTACATTGCTGCATTTCCTGACTATGTATGGTTGATACTAATAGCATGCTCCAGTTGTAGCCGACAAGCACTTTTCTCATTCAGCACCTATGCCGTTTGCAAACGGTTTGCTTTGCTATAGGGTTGGTGATGCGGTTCATAATTACCGATTCTTTGGCAGTCAACAGCTAACCTAACTATTTACCTTCAAAAGCGATCAATTTCAAATTTATCCACCAGCTTCGATCTCTTAACGCATACTCCAAAATGCAACTAAAAACTGGAATTAATTGCTGTATACAAACCCTATCCACCGCACTCGGAAGTGGTGAGTGATCCCCGAGCAAAGTCGCTTAACAAATTGAAAGCAAGTCGCTAGAAACATTTGCTGTTCCTATCTAAATGAAAAAAAATCATTTTGATTTCATTGTTGTGACATAAGTATGATATCATATTAAGCTTCTTTCATTATGCAGTCAAGATATTTTAAAAATGAAAGCAACTTAACTTCAAGTTTTAGTTTTGGTAATGTGGATTCAACTGTTGTGTACATAACAACACCACATTTTTGGACTTGTCCAGGGTAGGATTTGAACTTCCCGTTTGATTCCCCAGTGTGAAATTTTGCTCTCAGATTTGCTGTGCTAAATCAAAATGAGATCAAAGTGAGTAATCAAAAAAGCCACGTCATAACAGCAAATTTTGATTGCAATTTGATCTCAAACATTGCTCGGGTCTCCCATCTGTAAGCTAGTCGCTTCGTTGGAAAGTCAAGCGGCGAAGCCCTGTGAAGAGAGCAGCTCATAATCCACTTTTATGACCATCATTACGCATTATATGAAGCTATTTTATTTGTTTATTCGGTGCATCCCTCGCTTGCACACCTCACCTCCAGTCCAGTCCAGGGCAGTGGTCTGTGGGTGACGATAGACGAGCAAACGGAGAACCGTTTACGTTTACGACGCCTAGCGTAGCATAGATATTTAGATGCACACGTCCTAGGTACAAACCAATCCGTTTCGAAGAAATTGAACTGCCATTTCACCAGTCAACAGAGACCGCACGGACAACTTGGCGGCGGCGGCGGCGGCGGCGGCGGCGGCGGCATCTTTTCGCGCCCTATGATGAGCGCATACCTAATCGGCCGTAGTTTAGAACCGAAGTATGTACGATGTGTCTAGAGATGACCCATTCCATTACCCACCACCCGTGAACTGTTTTGTCAGTATTTCACACTGACATGCTGTCGGAGCGGACAGGGACGGAGTTAGACATGTGGGAATGTTTGATGCTTTTAGCAGGAAAGAAAATATTGTTCTGTTGATTTTTTGTACATACACATGGGAACTGTTGATTTGTGTTCTCCCGCAATAGCTGCTTGTAGAATTTTGTGATACTGGTGCTAAGCGTTCGGACTAGATTGTAATCTATTGTAGCTTCAGATTTTTTCGTTCAAAAATATTTTACTTAGATGTTCATGAGAAAAAAAATTAAAAATGTACTTTCGATCATTACAAAACTCAATGTGTCCTGATTTCTCAAAAAAACATTAACCGCATTGTAATATACCTTGAGTGATGGAAAAGTTCGCGAAAACTCACTATGACTCGCGAACTTTTCCCATGGTGAACTTCGTGAAATATCGCGAACTTTTCCAACACTGCAAGGTATCAAAATTACCGATTATGATAAAGATAATGCAATTTTTATTAATGTTATACTCATGATCAGTACCACTAGCGATAAGCTCCGATGATTATAATCAACTGTCGTTACTGAAGATTCCCCATATCAGGCGAGATTTCGGTCATTCTAAAGCCTATCCAAGTTAAATTTCGGACGCTTTTCTTTCAGTGTAGTTTTTGAAATATTTCACGAACCACTGTTTAGAGATGAACTAGCCTAAGGCTAAAAATCTCTTAAATAAAGAATTAAAAAAAAAAAAACGAACCACTGTGTCGTGATTCGACGACGCATTTTAGAATGCCTTTCTGGATGCTTCGAGAATTACCATCCGTACGAACCAAGAATAGACCAAAAACTCTTGATATGTCAATGACGATTCTCTCAATTCACAACTCTCCTCAAAAGCAGTGTTGCCAGAGGTTTCTAATAAGTTGTACCTAGTACCTTCATTCCCTGCATTCTTCCCTACCTCTACTCTGTGGTTGATTCATTAATATTAGTATGACTATTTTTATATATGTGTTCATTTATTTGTTCATTAATTGAACTTGTACTCTCCAATTCTATTCGAAAATAGTGTGTAACAATATATCCTTAAATTTAGATGGTTTCTTTGATTTTCTTTTGACGTAGGACTACGTCTTTGATTTCTATATGGGGGTACACTTTGTGAAAACCGAAAATGGAACATGTAACAAATTAAGAAAGATTTTGAACGTTAATAACTCACCTGCCCCTGGTCCAATTTCAATAATTTTATCATCAATCGATCAGAAATATGGCTACGCATCGATAACAATGCTTTCGAATGTTGATTTTTAACAAGAAACTATGACAAACTGGTAAATGTCCAGCATGGTCCAAAAGCGTCGAATTAACTAACAAATCCACCAATCACCTACATGCATATGCTGCTTCCCCAGCACAGTCGTCAGAGAGTAGTAAGTAGACGAACCAAGTCGAAGTGGCATTCGCCTCCGATCCTCGGGCGCGTGCGAATAGGGAGGATGGAATTGCGTAATATTTTGCACAATCATCGCCATATGCAGAACCAAACGCAAATTCTTCGAGATAACCACCATCCGTCGTCTGGCTCGCCGTGGCGGTGTCTGACGTATCTCCGGTCTGATTTACGAGGTGTGCTGAAGGTGTTCCTGAAAAATGAGATCCGTGATGCTGTCACCTACACTAAACACGCCAAGCGTAAGCGGTCATGGATGTCATCTACGTTTTGAAGTGACAGAGACACACTCTGTTTGGTTTCGGAGGTTAAATCATCACCAACTTTGGCAACAAAACGGCTCTTTTCAGGGCCACCAAGCTTATTACAGTAAAGAGTAGGAATAGAATTCATCTGCCTGTTTGTCCATATTCAGAACCAACGATCACACAAAATGCTAACGTAATCAAACTGGAAGCAGGGGTACAACTGAGATTGGACCCAGGCCTGCTGGGGTGAGAGGTAATCACGCTAACCACCGGCGCCGATATCTTTCAAGGTGATATCAAGTTTAGTTATCTCAGACATAAGAAATAAAGTGCTGGAACTCAGCGATGAGTAAATTTGCCTCATGTTTTCCCAGGTTTTTCCAGGATTTTCCAGGGAAAAATTCCCGAATTTGAGAAAAGTTAATTTTGGATTCACTCAGTCTATTGGTACTACTCCGAGACTGAATAAAATTTTCGTCAATTTCCTCATTTTCTGGCAGATTTTTTAGGTTTTCCACAGGAAATCATGAGACAAATTTACTCATCGCTGAGTTCCTGCACTTTTGGCGATTATGAGTGAACTAAACTTAAATTTGGGTCGTTCTCATTCGCCGTGTACGCAAAAAGAAAAGAGCCAGTGTCGCTACTTGATAGCAAACTACTCATAATGGGAGGAGTCTTTGTAGCTTTTATACCACTTGGTTGCACATCATTCTGCTTTAACCTGAAAAGATGTAAAAGAGCGCTGCTGTATGGCATTAGCTCATTTTAGCTTCGGACGGCGTGGTGAACAGCAATAGCAGCAGTAGGAAGGTGGTGGCTAGTCCACTCCTTCACACCTAACAAGCAACAATTGACTGGTCGTGGCAAAGGAGGAAAAGGTCTGGTAAAGGAGGCGCCAAGTGTCATCCCAAAGTTCTTCGAGATAACCGCCATCGGTCGTCTGGCTCACCGTGGTGATGCCAAACGTATCTCCGGTCTGATCTACGAGGTGTGCCGAAGGTGTTCCTGGAAAATGAGGTCCGTGATGCTGTCACCTACACTAAACACGCCAAGCGTAAGTGGCCATGGATGTCCTCTTCAATAAAACGGCCCTTTTCAGGGCTATCAAGCTTACATCAGTAAAGAGTTGGAATAGAATTTATCTGTGCTTGTTAGTCCATATTCAGAACCACAAGCCCCCAACGACAACACAAAATGGTCTCCAGAGTTGTAATCTTGTAACCAAACTTGAAAGCAAGGGTGCAAGTGCTTTTGATTGATTCTCTTAAT